TCCATACCGGTGAATACCGTTGTCGACACTCACTACCACCCACCGCTACCAAAAAATTCGTAGGAAATCGTCCAACATAAAATTGGTCATAAACACGCTTAGCTAAAGAGCTCGTATAATTAAGTTACCAAAAAGAAATGTGCACATTATTGATATATGAAGTAACTTTCATTTTCTTTAACCATTTATTAGTCATTTTATTTTGAAGGTCGGATATAATTTCATTTTATTCCTATCGAAAAAAATAATAAATAAATAAATAAATAAATAATTGAATATAAAAATGGTTGAAAAGGCAAAATAATAATTATAATGTCCTTTTGACTTTCATTTATAAACTCTTTGTAAAGGTTTGATCATTTCCAAGTCCAATTCTATTGTCCCNTTTTTTTTTTTTTTTTTTTTTTTTTTTTTTTTTTTTTTTTTTTTTTTTTTTTTTTTTTTTTTGTAAAGTATTGGATAATAAAATTTATTAAGTAAGTAGTGAATAAGGACAAGCTTGGCTGCCCGACATAATAAAATACTGACTACACAGAAGAGTAGGTCCTGAAGTGAAGTACGTAAACGATCGGAATCAATGTGTTCAAATTGACTATGGACTAAACAACCCTTATGCTCTAAACTACACACATGCTACAATGATCAAAACATTTCAAACTCTAAAAGTGGGCAAAAAAGGGAGTAGGAAAGAGGCTTGGGAAAACCCTCCTAATCAGTGAATACGGTTAAGTTATGAAATATTGATCACCCTGAGGGATAGGCCCTGAAGTGAAGGATTGTCTAAACACTATGAAATACTAACCACATTGAGGGATAGGCCCTGAAATGAAAGGTGTAAACAAGTAGAATAACCCTTATACCTTAAATGAGACCGGGATATTTAAAAACTTATTAGAAATTAGAAATTTTAAATTAAGCTTTGTCAGATAATTTAAGTTCCACATCCGCTAATTTAGGGAATGATCATGGGTTTATAAACAAATAATACTCTCTCCAGTCTATAAAGCCTTTTGGGAAAGTCGAAAGCAAAGCTACTAGAACTTATGCTCAAAGTGTATAATATCATATTATTATTGAGATGAGCGCAATTTTCGTACTCAACCAACCCCATGAAAACAATAACAAAGGTTTGGGGTTCGCAACCTGCACGTCCAGACACGCCCCAAATGATAGCTATTGGACAACCACTCCATTCCCATCTTCTTTTTTTTAACTTAAATCAATTACTCCACGCATCCATCAATTTTCTATCTAATAATAATAATAATAATATATATATATATATATATATATATATAACTATATGATTAATTCACGAGCTTCACGACATTTCATGTGTACTCGTATTACTAATTTATATTAAATATATAATTTCTTAGCTAAAAATGTGCAGATGGAACTTTTTTTTACGTCTTTATATGTATTAAAGTTTAAGAGCTAATATATACACTTTTAAGTTATAGTTAAAAGGTTTGTGTGAGATCCCACATCGGTTAGAGGAGTTTGAAAACCTCTCACTAGCAAACATGCATTTTAAAAACTTTAAGGAAAATTTAGAAAAAGTTAAAAAAGAACGAACTCAACAAGCATACACTCAATCAAGATGAACACCGGAGAAATATTGGATATTTGCACCAGTTGTTGGGATGACTTAACACAACACACAAGGTTTTATTGATAACTTCAGGTATGTACAACAAAAGAGAATACAGAAAATGAAGAAAATATCTGCATAACAAACAAAAGAAGACCATATTTACTGTTAGATGAACACGACTCTTCATAATGGTATGATGACTTTGTTTGAGCATAAGCCCTCACAATATTTACTGTTAGATAAACACAATAGTATGATATTGTCTATTTTAAGTATAAGCTCTCATGACTTTGCTTTAGGCTTTCCTAAAAGACCTCATACTAATGCAGATCATTCCATAAATTAGCCAATGAGGAACTTTCATCATCCAACATGTACTAGTAGTGAAATTGAGGTATTCAGTTAGAAACTAAATTTATAATTATTCATCTATTTTGAATTTGGTTATATTTTAGTTATTATACTTTTAATAAAATATTAAAAATAGACTATACTTATGGTTTAATGTGTATTTTATTGTATGAAAGTTATTTTATTATACAAAATTTAACGGAATAAATTTAAAATTGACTGAATAGGTAAAAGTTAATTTAGACGGTAAAAAATGAAAAAATACACAGATTTTTAACGAAAAGAAAGTGGGAGCTGCTGTCAGTATTTATTATTCGTTTGTCAGCTTTGGGAGGCTTCTCTTTCTTTGCCGCTCCAACAATTGGTTCCCCACAGATCTAACGGTCACAGGCAGGGACATAGGGAACACCGCTGCCACGTGGCGCCATATATGCCCACCTCTCCTTTTTAATTTTTTCTATCCAGCTTTTTATTTTTATTTTTATTTTTATTTTTATTTTCATCACGTGATACTACCAGCTTTTAAATTACAAAGAGAAAAAATAAAGTTAAATTACCAATTTGGTCAATTAATTTTAAAGTTTTGTTATATTTGATTTGTAAAGTTTTTAATTATTTAATATTTTAGTTTTACGTTTGATAAATTATTAGGATATTTATTTTGTTTTATTTAGTTATTTATAAGCTTCAATTGTATGCCTTTATAATTTTAAAAATATTCGAATGTGTAATACTATTAAATACATAAATTAAAATTTAAAATGAAATATATTTTTTTTTACTGAAAATAGAAACNACGAAGGGTATTTTAGTAATTTCACTCAACTCTAGTCTTTTTTCTTGGAGGTGCGGTTGGAAGAGAAATCTCAACTTTGTTGACGCTCCATCCTCGGATTCTCATTTGGTTCCACCGGCCACTGATTCATCTCAAATTTATCCTCTCCGTGAGACTGGCACTGACAGCGACGGCTCCACCGTGAGTTCCCGGAATCTGCGGCCTCTCTGGTCACCCGCATTCTCCTTCTTCTTCACGATTTATGGCCGCTGGCCGGTGCTGAGTCGCCGTTGTTGTGTTACTGTTTCATCTAGGTCCATTCCTCGGTATTCATTTCCACATTTCTACGTTCGGTACGTTTACTTTCTATCTCTCTTTGATTGTCACTTTGATGCTTTCTTCCACTCGTAAAGCTTCCTCGTCTTCTTCTACTTACTCTGAAGCTACGCCTTGAGTCCTTCTCGGATTTGGATTAGAGTTCTTGCTATCATGTTTGCGTATTTATCATCTCGGTGATCTTTCCTCTCGGACGTATCTAGCGGAGTATTGTTTCATTTTCGATGCTTTAATTGTTCAGCAGCTCCTTGTAATTTGTTACATGTGGAAAATGCTGCATTCGAAGTTTTCTTTGAGTCGAAGTAAATCAATGAGTTCCATAGCGACATAGAAGTTTAACAATCTTGCTTAACTGACGTTTTGATTAAGATAAGCTAACCGTTAGAATTGAATATTTCTGCCATTGCGTAAAACGTCTATCCGCGCCATATTCCGCGTGCATTTCGGTATGCACATTGTGATTATTATATATTTCGGGGGAGTTTTCAGTTTTGGAACGTGGTTGTTTTCTTATAGTGCACGAGGCTTTAAGACGACGAAAATCGCAGCAGAGTAGCAGAGGATTCGGATCAGACCAAACAGCAGAAACGAAAGGAAAAACGAGATATTAAAAACGACGGCGTTTGGAGGATCCAATCCATTTCTCGAGCAAGTTGGCCATTGCATTCGATATCTTAACCGCATCGCTGTACCGAACGGACGCATCGTTTTCGGGAGCGGTTTTCTGAAAGGACAGACGATTCGACAGTATGATTTTTTTTTTGTTCCTTGTCTTCTTGATTTTAATTTCGGAATTCACAGTTCCAGTAACATCTGACCAAACCTTATCGTGAAGAGCGATAAGGAGAATTCAACGACAATAACATTCTGATGGTTGGATGTCAATGCTTACCCTGTTCAAATTCCTCGAATTTGTCCGTAAGTTTTGTGGGTCTCCTCTATGAGGGAGGTTTCTGTCTTACATGAAATCTGTGAATTTTTTTGGGGGAAATACCCCGCAAGAAAAAAAGGGGTTTAAAGGGATGCGTAGAATTGAAGGTCAAGCTAGATTGCCATAGGCTTAACCACAATACGGCAATTATCATAAATCTACTTTCTAACTTTACATAATTTTTCGGGTGACGGGTAAATACCCATGATTAGCTTGTAGCTGAAGTTATTAATTCATAATCTTTCTACTATTGGTTGGCTGAGGGGGTTGGTCAGATCAGAATACACTCATGGCTTGAGTAATTAGCATTTATTTAGCATGCTATTAGTATTTTATGCAGGAAATTTTTGTCATTAATGGCTTGTAAGCTCTCCTTTATAAATGTTAACAGTCCTGAAAATGTGCGAAGCACGAGCCCAATGACATGGGTATCTACAATTATGGATTGATATAGACTGAATCAAGGTGGTGGCCTGTTGGGCTGGGAGAAGGTTTGGCTACATTGAGAAATGGGGACGGTTGCCGGAGAGGAGTTGATGAACTTGGAGAAAATGCAGGAAATAAATGCCCGTGAAGAGAAAATTCTTGTATTAGTAAGGTTGAGACCTTTGAATGAGAAGGAGATTATGATGAATGAAGCAGTGGATTGGGAGTGCATCAATGATACTAGTATCTTGTACCGGAATACCTTACGGGAGGGGTCCACATTTCCAAGTGCCTATACTTTTGGTAAGTAATGCTAATCTTTCTCACCTTTTAATACCCTTTGTAAAACATCTGAAAGTGTGGATTTATGAGGATTAGACACTTTATTTCATACATTTTTATCGAACCCTTTAATAGTTTCTTTTATCTAAACTCGAACGATTTCTCTTCATCACTCGATGATATTGTACATACATGACTATGACTTTGTAAATTAAGTCGATGTTTCAAAATATTTCTTGTTGAGATTTGTTGGGAGAGAGTCCCACACTGGTTAATTAAGGGAATGAACATGAGTTTGTAGGTAAGTAATACAGTGGACAATATCATACCATTGTGAAGAGTCGTGGTTCCTAACTTTTCTATAGTACATTGGCATGTGCATGCCATTGATAGGGATATAAATTTTTAATTGAATGGTATTGTATAAGAGGTTTATTTAATGTTTTGTTCATATTTTTTTTTGGTGACAGATAGAGTATTTGGAGGTGATTGCTCTACAAAGCAGGTGTACGAGGAAGGAGCCAAAGAAATTGCATTTTCTGTAGTCAGTGGTATCAACTGTAAGTATATAATTGCATTCCACTTTGATCTCTAACATGTCAAGGTTTCTAATGAACTTGAAAAGACCTTACTCCAATATATATGCTTTCAAATTTCCAGCGAGTATTTTTGCATATGGTCAAACAAGCAGTGGAAAGACATACACCATGAACGGAATTCTTGAACATTCAGTGTCAGATATATTTGATTACATTAGAAAGGTGAGTTAATATTGGTGATTGCACTACGCCCTTTACCCTTGCCTTTGACAAGCTCTATTCTGAGTTCTCTGACTGTCTGTTTGTTTTCTTTTCCTCAAAACAAATTGCAGCATGAAGAAAGAGCATTTGTTGTGAAGTTTTCAGCTATTGAGATATACAATGAAGCTGTTAGAGACCTCCTGAGCACAGATACTACTCCTCTCAGGCTGCTAGATGACCATGAGGTGGATATGTTATTTTTATATGTAAAAAAAAAAAAAAAAAAAAAAAAAAAAAAAAAAAAAAAAAAAAAAAAAACTCTATTGTTTTCCTATTTTTGCATTTCCCACAGTTTTTGGTTATCAACAGCGAGGGACTGTTGTGGAGAAAGTCACTGAGGAAACTTTGAGGGACTGGAACCATTTAAAGGAGCTCATTTCAATGTGTGAAGGTGAAGCATTTTGAAAAATCTTGCCAGTCTCTGATTATTGTGTCATATCTTCATGAAATCTGATTATAATGTGCAGCTCAACGACGGATTGGAGAGACCTCGCTGAATGAGAAAAGTTCTAGATCTCATCAAATTATTAAATTGGTGTGCATCACGTCTCTTCTTCATTAATCACACGATCCATCTGATCGAGGGATTCAATTTTCATCTCAGGGATAAAATTTTCACCAACTCCTTGTTGATTCATGCAGACAATTGAAAGTTCTGCTCGAGAGTTTTTAGGAAAAGACAATTCAACCACCCTTGCTGCTAGTGTGGTAATGACCATCTAACTGTATATTGTGTGTGAAGAATCACAGCTATTATTTTGACTACGTTTTCTCCAACTTTTAAGAGACTTCCATAAACAGAAATTCAATGTGTGAGAAACAAATCGTCTTAACTTCTCACTCTTCCGTCATTTCTGGCAGAATTTTATTGATTTAGCTGGGAGTGAACGTGCAGCTCAGGCATTATCAGCAGGGGCGAGATTGAAAGAAGGCTGCCACATAAATCGCAGTTTACTGACTCTCGGTACTGTTATTCGCAAATTAAGGTACATGAAGTCATCTTTCCTTCCCTTTACGTTGTTGAAATTTTTACTAAACTCGGATTTTTTTTCCTTTTTTCCCTTTAGATTTGGGTGAATGGTCTTTTATTATTATTATTATTATTATTTTGCCTAATTGCCACTTGTCACTGATGCTTGTGTCATGCACATTCTCTAATGTTTTAAGAATAGATATGGATTGTCACTAAGAAATACAGAACTTTCTTACGTATGACTTGTGACTGCATTAATGTTCAATTATGCTCCCCGGCAGTCTTTGTTTATTAAGAGTTTCCTGATGTTTCACTATGTATGCAGCAAGCACCCTCCTAA